GCTCGGGGTGGAACCATTTTTCCTCTATGCTATTTTTATTTTTGTAATTACTGTGCCTTTCTAAATCCAAAAAATGAAAAGGAAATCGGCACCCACTTTCCCTTTTGCCAAGCCTAGGTGGGTTACACACCTCCCTACACCCCCGGCCCAGTAAATCCATCCCTTCATTTGTTAACTGGTTAACTCATTGAGTGCCAGTGCTCTCCCTTTGACGAGACAGGGTACCTTAATCCAGATAATGTGCAATACTTCCCATTGTGGTTTAGACCATTGAGTTACTGTAGGTTAACAAACTAGTGGCATGGTCAGATATACTATCTACAGTAATACCACAGTCATCTTATCCCCCATAAGAGATATAAGTGTGTGGCATTAGACAGAGCAAAAGTACACACGTAAAAACGCACAAGTCGTAACAAACCTGCAGCAGACTTGTAGCAATGCTGTTTCAACAAGTTGTCAACAGCTTGTTGACAACTCGCTACAAGGCTGTTGAGCTAAACAGACTTGTTACAAGTTGTGCTCACAATTTGTTATCGTCCTGCATGCTACAAGCTCATTGCGAGCACATGTCGTTGACAAGTTATGAGTTTTTACGTGTGTAGGTTGCATTTAGCACATATTGCTGATTGCATTTTGATGGTCAAAACTGTATATTTTCATACTTTCCAGCAAAGTGATCGCACACCACCTTCATCAGAAATCCCTGGAAAAAATATTAAATCGGTAAAAGATATTAACTTGGGAACTTTTCTCCATATGAACATGTCTAGATGTAACATGGCGTAATGATGGCGGTGGCAGACACTTTGAGAAATACTGGTAGTGCCAATTTCTCCTCGCCCATCCCACTGCAAGTACCCCCCACTCCCTGCAAGTCTCCACACCTATTGGAATGCTGTGGTATCCCTACAGGTATCTGATCATGCTCAGTAGTACAGAACCTGTCCCACATTCTTTAGGCACAATTTCGTTCCATATATTTTGCAATCATTTGTACAAAGTCGAGCAGTAGGTATGTCATATACCTGCGTGCCAACTGCCAAAGACATTTGATGTGACCGAAATGATGCAACCTGTCTCTAGGGGTGCACCGGAACCTCGATTTTTTAGAGTTCCGGTTCCGGCCGGAACTAGTAAAAAAGGCATGGCCAGAACTCTGTTGTTTTCAGAGAGATAGAATATCAAACGTTTTTGTGTCTAACAAAAGGTCACAGTAGGAAGAAATTTGGACTATGCAAGGGAAATGTACACTACTAACACTTCATTATGACGTTTAACGCTTGTCAATCTTTTTATTCTAACATTTGCGAGCTCTCTCCTTTATGACTTGAAGTGTCTGCCTGTCTGGCAGCGGACAAAGTAACATATGACTATATATGGCTTAATAAATTAGTTCTGGTTCCGGCCGGAACTTTTTTCCAGTTCCGGTCGGATCCGGTTCCGGCCGGAACTTAAAAAACTGGTTCCGGTGCACCCCTACCTGTGTCACAAAACCCAACCAAACAGGAGCATACATGTACATAGTTTTGTATATTCAAACTAATAGTATATCTCCCAATATTTATTTTGTAATTCATTATTTTATCAATAAAATAAACATGTACAAAAAAAGCCAAAAATGGAAATAATATCTAATATTCTACACTACCACCAAATGGGACCAACTAATATGAATGTAATATATTCAAATATAAATTTAATACATTCGCCATACCATTAAAACAAAGGCTGCGCATTTGCTCAATGTTGATATCATTTTTGCCAAAACATAAATCTTTAAACTCTTCACATCTTATAAACAAGATAAAATACAATTGCGCAAGTCAATACGACACACAACAAGTTGTATAATGCAATAAAATAATGAGAAAACAGTAACAATTTCGAACCTTTTACGATAAATTTCCATTTTCATGTATTCTCAGGCATGACCGCGTGCGGAAGAAACTTTCAGGGGAATGGAAACAAATTAGAAACACGACGAGGAAATCTGGGAACCAGTTTGTTCCAGTTTAACTGTTTTAACCAATAGGAATCGTTTAAAATAACACGTGACACATTTTGACCAATAAGGGGAAAGAAGAACTGCAAATAAGCTTGTGCAGCGTGCACGTTTTTTCTTGTCGTTTGACTGAGTTCGCCTTTACAGTTTGGTTCGCTTTACGATTTATTTTGACAAAATACTGCGACGTTAAGGTTAGTTTTATTGAAATAATCTAGATAATAATGAAATGGGGCTTTGTTTAGCGTATTTGTGTAGTTTAATCATGCGTATGTTGTATTTTTATGATGAAAAAACCGTCGTTAAAATTTGTGTCATTGAGCGTCGTGCTGCGAATTTCCACCAAGTTTGAAAATGAAAATGCTTTTTTTTACGTTTTATTCTGTAGATGGCCGAAGACCAAGCTGATAGAGAATTGAAATCCTTATGCAAGTTGTTCATAGGAGGAATTCCTCGTACAATAACCGACGAGGAGCTCGCGGAACACTTTCTGCAGTTCACCGAAGACGACTCGTTAAACGACTGTGTGGTCATAAAAGACGAGATGAAAAACTCGCGTGGATTCGGGTTCGTAACCTACAACAAGTTAAGCGATACGGACAACTGTCTAGCGAATCGTCCACATAATCTCGGGACGAAGGAGGTTGAAGTCAAGCATGCCATACCTCGAGATGAAAAAATCGAAACCAACCATGTTCGCACCAACAAAATTTTTGTTGGCGGTCTCTCCAAAGAGGCGACGGAAGAGGAGCTCACCAGTGTCATTGAGAACCACGTGTTAGCCGCCGGAGAGAGCCTGAATGCGAAAATCACGAAATGTGACATCATCAAAGAGAAGGAGACCGGTGAGCCTCGTGGATTTGCCTTCCTCGACATGGCGTCCGAGGATGATGCGGATAAAGTCGTGATCGTCAAGCACTTCGACATTGCAGGTCGCCGGGTAGAGTTGAAGAAGGCCGAGCCGAAAGGTGGTTCCGGCGGAGGTAGAGGTGGGGGTAGTCGAGGCAGAGGTGGTCGCGGTGCACGAGGTGGTGGTGGTGGCAGAAATACTAGCCAGTTTGGTGGTGCAGGTGGATGGGGCTTTAATGATCAGTTTGGTGGTGCTGGTGGTGGTTTTACTATGGATTATGGTGCGTACGGTGGTTATGGTGGTGGTGGATATGGATTTGATAGCATGGGAGCATTCAACCAATATGCACAGCAAGCTTCGAGTTATGGACCATCACGAGCAGCAACTGGACGCTACCGTGGACGCAATGGCCCATATTAAATATTTACTCTCTTTGTAAGTATAGATAATGTGTGTTGTTTATGTTACAATAGAACATTCAGTTGAATTGAAGTGTTCAACACCCAATAAGTTAGCACTGTCAATCCTAACTGATAATCATGACCTTGATAATAATGACATTGATCATTTTATGGTAGAATATGGAAAATTGCCCTGCAAATCAGTTTGATACAGTGCTAATTTATTGGGGCTTGTCCACTCAATTGATGCTCAAATTCCATGTTTTCAGTACTAACTAGTGTGTAGCAAGTTGGAATAAGCACTTTTTCCATGTACTTTATAACTATAGCGGTCAGTACTGTGGTTAAACTATTAGTCTTTCTTTTGTCTTTTTAGCGACAAGCAGATATGCCTTGTATGATTTCGAACTAAAATTTCTATTTTAATACTTTAGGTCTCTAGCAATCTTGTTCAGTCAATTGGTTAAACATTAAGTCTCAAGAAATAGGAACCTAGCCCGTAGGCTAAGGCTGAAGAATTACTCTCTAGAACTCAGAAGCAGACTACAAGATTAAGCAGACTTTGGATGCAGAGCATTTGAGCCTAGGTCAAATGAGGAAATGATGAGGACAATTGAGAAATCTTGGTCATTTTATCAACTTTCTATGTAGACGTTAACAGTTTTAAGTCAATTTTAAGTGTAACATATTTTATTAAAAGTGATTAAGTGTGAGTGCCCACAGTTTAGTTCATTTATATTATTTTGTAAGGTTGAAATTGTTTTTGATTGGTTAAATAATTTTGAACATCCATATAATTGGTGGTGGAAAAGTGATTTTTCCCCAAAGAGACAGGTTGAAAGATATGGATATATGACAGAAATATGCACATCAAAGTAAAACTGCAAAACTAACCAAATCACAAAAATGTAACAGGTCAATTCAACAAGACTCTGGGGACTAGAGACAGCCAATTTGGTTAAAATACAAACAGATTTTAGAAGAGTTTGTTTATGTATCCCAGTGCAAAAATGAAAAACAATTTTCTATTGTTAGACCCATTGCTGTAAGAAACAGCGGGATATAGTTTTGTGTGTATATATGTTCGGAACAAGTTTGGCCGTTCCAGTGATGTGGAATTTGTTGGTTCAAAATTTGTATTGATAATTTGGTAATGGCTTTCTCAAGTGTTCAAATTATTTGGAAGGGAAACTGACAGTAAAAAATTGAGTTGACCAAAATAATAACCTCGCAAGAAGTTCCAGGAGCAATTCACTAAGGTGTATAGTTGTAACCTGCTATTGATGTTTTTTGCTTGCAAGTAGGTACTTCAGTGTGCAAAATGACACACAAGGTTTATCTTAGGTTGATTCAGAATTGTTAAGGTTAGACTAGAAATGCATGCCCTCCTTAAGTGGACATTGACCTTTTGGTATCTAGGATCATCTGAGTGAATTAAATAGTACCCTGTTTAATATATGGATGAATGAGAAACATTCACTTATAAACCTAAATTGTGCAGTCTTAGATCAAGAGGGATTGGAACAATTGTTTAATTTGCCAATTAAACCAAATTAGTCCCAATTTTCTCCATTCAATGTTTTTATCTCTATCATCAACCCAGCACTCTCCAAGTGACATGTAAAATAGGACACATTGGGGTGCAATACAACTTAGAAAGGCCTGTTTACACTTGCAATTTATGCAGTGATTTTAGGTGTGATTTTCTTATCGTGGATGAGTTCGGAATGTTCAGATGAGGGTTCATATACTCTACTTGATCACATGCTTCAGAAGTGCCAAATACCACATGAAGTTTTGATTGGCCAGTCTGGATCAATCAGCTGTCAGTGCATATATCATTACTGGGCTTGCAAATTGAAACTTAGTGAGAATAACAGGCATTTCTAAAAAATAGAACTTGTTAAGTTAGTATCTGTAATGAAGTTTAAAGTTTTTCAAGAAAACTATGTTTTAATGGCAAGCCTAATTAGGATTGTGCTTATCTTCAAAGCGGAGTGTTGTACTTTGGTATCCAAACTGTAGTTGCATACATGAAACAAATTAGGCAAATAAACATACTGTATACAGTATAACTATTTTTGTGAATGTGTGCTCATGAACATGTATTTTCCAATTAATAGCTCCAGGATCCTATCTGAGGAGCAATGGTCGACAGCAGTGGAAAATGGAATATTGAAGAAGAAAGTCAATAATTCTACACATTGCAGTCCATACATGTCAATAGAATAACAGTCCTAACAGAATTTGTACCATTAGGAAATTTAGAATTTTATAACAATGTCAAACAGTCACTTTGATAAGTAAAATGGTAGAGAAACAAGCAGGTAGTTTATGAGTCTACCCATTACAGCAACAATACAAATCACCTAGTGTTATATGGCCCACTGCAGCTAAGTAAATTTTAGAATATTATATTCTAGCTTCCCAGATGAGCCTTCCACAGCAATTGGCCTTCAAAATATTTTTTGTTTATTTATTGGGTACATTGCAGTCATTTCAATTATTTGAGGTTTAGTGGTTGACATGACACATAAAGTAGCAAACACTGAACTTATATTATGGAATTCGCCATCAATAGCTGTACGAAATTTGGTGAACACAGGACAATTTATGTGCAGGTGTAAGTATTTTTTCTTTATATTTTGGTCAGCATGTGG